AGAAAGAGAGAGAGAGAGAGAGAGAGAGAGAGAGTGAAGAGAGAGAGAGAGAATCAAGTTTAAATGTCAAAACACGAATATATATATATATATATTACGAAAAGTAATAATTTTTAAAACAAATGAGTTCAACTTTTTTTTTTTCTTTTTTTTTTTTTCAAATTCGTATTTCGAAAAGAAAATAATTTTAAACGACTAGAAAAAAAAAAAAATAATAATAATAATAATAATAATAATATATTTTTTTTTTTAAATAAATGCCTCGAGGAAATGACATTTCGGTTAACAAACACGACAGTTTAAAAAAAAAGAAAATGGCGTTAACCAAGTAGTAAAAACTATTTTTAAATAATACTTTGTTTTTTTTTTTTTTTTTTTTTTTTTTTGTATTTTCGACTCGTATTAAATAAATTAATAAATTAATCCCGAAACGAAACGAAAGCTTTCACCCTTGGCCCAGTTAACAAACTCAACAAACAAACAAACAATAATGATAATGATAATGATAATGATGATGATGATGATAGTAAAGATTCCGCCGCCGAATCGGCGGTACATAAACGACATGTTTGTATTTATCAATTTTGGAAACGTTAAATTTGTTTAATTTTGTATTTTTTTCACGCGCTCTTTTTCCTTCCTCTCACCCTCCTTAACCCCTTACCCCCTCACCCACATCACCACCCCCACATATCGGAGAAAAATCTAGAAAAATCGGGAAAAATTTTTCGCGACGTTTATTTTTTTTTCTGTTTACATAATTCACTTCGTTCGTTTGTTCGTTCGTTCGCCCCCCCCAAAAAAATTAAATAAATAAATAAATATTTATCGATTTATCGATCGGACTGTAAAATATCGAATCGAGTAGGAGAGAGAGAGAGAGAGAGAGAGAGAGAGAGAGAGAGAGAGAGAAACAAGGAAACTTTGTTTAAAAACGTTCGATCGAAGGTTGATCGAACCCAGATTTTTGGCAAAAAAAAAAAAAAAAAAAAAAAAATTGAAAAATTATTATTTTGTCCAAATAAATTCAATCGAACGAATCCAAGGTAAAAATAATAATAATAATAAATTTATTTTTAAATGTCGGCCCCGGGTTTTTTTTAAATCGGGGGGAGGGGAGGTAGGGGGAGGGGACCGGTGTAGGATTCCCGCGCTTTTAAAAAAAAATCTAAATAGTACTCACTTTATATTTTGGAAATGACGACGACGACGTTGAAACCGCATAAAGTTCGTTATTTATTAATGTTGTTGTAAATGTCCAAAAAACGATACCGAAAAATATTATTGAATTATTTTCCATTATTATTATTATTATTACGACTTTTTCAAATAGTTTTTCACCTGTAAGAAAAAAACGAAAAAAAAATTATCGTTAAGTAAACAAACGCACGCACACGCACACGAACACGCACACACGCGTTTGATGATGATGATGATGATACTCGGTTTGCTGTTGTAAAAACGACAAAAAAATTATTATTATTATTATTAAGTAAGAACGTACGAACGCACTCTCGCAAACTTTTACTTTAGCAAATATTTTTTGGGGAGACGACGTCGACGACGACGACGACGACGACGAAATACAAAACTTTTTTTTTTTTAACAACAACAACAACAACGACAAACTTCTTCAAGACTTTAAAGTAAACTGATTCTTGTTCATTTTTTTTTTGCATAAAACATGTTTTAGCATTGAGGTAAGGTCGCTCTTATCTTGACTATATGAATATAACAAAACACATTATGTTTTTTTTTGTTTCTCTCTCTCTCTCTCTTTCCCCCCTTCCCCCCGTACAACCGAAAAAAAAAAATGACGAAAAACGAAAAAAATTATTTTTCTTCGTGATTTTCTTTCTCGTTGTTGTTTGTTGTTTGTTAAAATGGTGGACGGATATTTTAAAAGATTATAAATTATTTTTCGCGTAACGTTACCTCCCCCCCCTTTTTTTAGACAACGAGGGGGGAAGGTGGGGAGGCAGGAAAACAAGTACAAACGAATTTTTAAAACAGAAAATGATGATGCACGAGTTTTTAATTGATCGTTTTTCTTTTTTTTTGCCGCCGATTGTTAACCGATTTTTTTTTTTTTTTTGGTTGTTGTTGTTGTTGTTCAGCTTCCGACATTTGTTTGTTTCTCTCTCTCTCTCTTTCGTTTTTCTATTTCTCGTTACTGCCAATAACAATAAAATAAATGACACGAAAAAAAAAAAACGAAAAACGAAAAAACTGATTAATAACTTTTTTTTTTTTTTTTTTCGTTTTACTTTTCATGGCGAACAAAAATAGATTTTCAAAAAAATTAATAATTTTCGTTTGTTTCGTTTGTTCGTTTGTTTGTTTGTTTCACTTTGTATAAACGATTATTGTTATTATAACTATTTTTCCTATTGGTGAATTGGAAAAAAAATTACGGGAATTGAAATTTTTTTAAAATGTAACAACGTATTTTTATAAATCTCTTGATATTATTATTATTATTATTATTTTCTCGGGGGGTTCGGGGGGGGGGGCGAGGGGATTTCTGAACAAACTTTTTTAAATTCGTTTTTTTTTTGATCATATTTACGCTGCGTAAAAAAAAAAAAAAAAAAAAAAATCTTTAATAATTGTTTGAAAAATTTATTAATGTAAATTTTTTTCCAAGGTTATTTTTCTTTAAAAAAAAAGTTCAAATGTTTTAACATCATCGTCTCTTTTCCTCTCTCTCTCTCTTTTTTGTGGTTTTTCTCTCTCTCTGTCCCCCGTCTTTAGCCTCTTTTTCGCGCCCCCCTCTATCTCTCTCTCTTTTTTTCTTACTCTCTCTCAATCTTTTCCTTCTCTCTCTCTCTCTTTTACTTTTCAAATAATCATCCCTTAAGGAATAAAAAAAAAAAAATCTTTCCAAGAGTTTTTTTTCGCACGTTCGTTCAATGATAGTCGTCGAAAGTCGTCGTAAATTTCAAAAAAAAAAAAAAAAAAACTTTTCAGACTTTTTTTATTATCCGCACAAGTTACAACCAAACCAAAAAAAACACTCAGACGATATTAATTTTTCGTTATTATTATTATCATTATTTTTGGATCGTATTATAATTTTTTACAAACGAAAAAAAAATACACCGATACGTCTACTACCACGACAATGACAACAACAACATTACAATCATTATTATTATTATTATTAATAGTAGTAGTAGTAGTATTAAATGATATAATAACCCGTAATTTTATTATTATTAATATTGCTTTTACTCTCATTTCATCCGACGTTTATTAGACATTAATACACGCGTTTATTTAATATTATTATTATTATTGTTATTAACGATACATAAATAATAATAATAACCATTAAATAAAATCATTCATTGAAGTTTTAAAAAAAAAAAAAAATTATTTAAATTGCTTTTTGTCGTTTTAAAGTAAAAAAAAAAAAAAAAAAAAAAAAAAAAAGTTCATTTTTTTAAAAAACGATCGTGTCGTAAATTAATATTAATGGATTTTTTTCTCTCTCTCTTTTTAACACGTTACAAAATTATTCGTTAAGAATAATTTAAGCGTTTTTTTTTTTTTTATTAATAGAAACCCCCCACCCCCCCAAAAAAAAAAAAAGTTAAAAATTAGAATTGTTAATCGCGTTTTTCGAATGTGTGGATTTTTTTTAGTGTTTATCTTACCGGGGAGAGAGAGAGAGAGAGAGAGAGAAAATGATAAAATGATGATTTTTAAATGGTTAATATTTTACGAATAAAAAAATAAAAAAATAAACGTCGTCTGCTATATTTTAATTAACTATAATAATAATAATAATAATAATAATAATAACGACAATAACAACAACAACAACAACGACAAATTCAAACGTTAAAAAAAACAACGAAATCTTTGTTACAAATAATTTAATTTAATTTAATATTTACATATTTATGATTATTATTATTATTATTATTATTATTATTATTATTAATTAATCATAACAAGGTCCATTAAATTAAATTTCATTTAAACGGGTTTCACACGCACACGCACGCACGCACGCACACGCACTGACAAACACGCACACGCACATTTTAAATAAATCCAATTAAAATTTTTTTTTTTTTTTTTTTTTTTTTTTTTTTACTTACTAACACGCCTTCGTTTATTTATTCATTTATGACAGATATGACTATTTTTTTTTTTTTTTTTGTTTCCCCCCCCCCCTTCCCCTTGCACCCTGCCCCCGTACAAATGTTGACACGTACAATTAACATAACTTTGTTATTATTATTATCATTATCATTATTAACATTATCGTTATTCAAACACTTTAACAGCGACAATGAGGAGTTGAGCTCAAACATAACCATAAATATATATATATGAGATTACCACTTGACGTTTATTTTTTCATTTCCCCATTTACTCACTCGACACAAGTTTATTGATCATTTTGCCAATGATCACAAAATTTATTAGTTAATAATAATAATAATAATAATAATAATAATAATAATGATTGTTGTTATAATTACCTAATGGAAAACGATTAATGTGATCTCACTTGAAAAAATTATGTCAGGAAACGAAAAAACACATCGAATAACAAATGAATGTGTGTGTGTGTTGGTGTTGGTGTTGTCGTACTTATCGATTCATGATCTAATAATGTCATAATTTGAATTAAACGAATAATAATAATAAATATTGAGCAATAGATATTACATATTTACAAACAATTTGAATGAATGATTGTTTTGAATTAATTAATTAAACATTATTTATTATTATTATTATTATTTATTTGTTCTAGATACCTTTTTGTTGTTGTTGTTGTTGTCGAAGTTTTTTCCCCATTTAAAAAAATTTCTGGCAAATCAGGTGTTGGAAATTTGTATAAATATTTTTATTATAAGTGAAATATTTTGATTCGATTGTAAACATGTTGTTATGCGACACATAATGATCAACTTTGCAATTCTTTTAACCGAATTATTCGTTTACCTGAAAATAGTAAACAGTCGAGTTGATATAAATAACATTGACATAAAAATGATGACGGTTATTTTTTATTTTTTTTTTTTTGTTAAAATAAACTTGTTGTTATGAATTTGACAGATGGAAAAAAATTTAAACTGACCAGCCTGTGTGGCTCTTTGAAATTCTAATATTTTACATATTAAATTTTTATCTATTTTATACGATTTTATATTTTTCAATATTGTTTTTCTATATCTTTCTTTCATTGATAAATATGATCTTCCGGGGCAAATTTTAATTTTTTCAGCATTTTTCCACACTTGAATTCCAGATGCATGTAAATATCTTTTCTTATCTGTTATGTAATTAACAATGGCTACATCTTCTTCGAGTGTGTACCTGTAAATGATTCATGATTACAATTGAACACAAATTTTTCATTTAACCTTAAACATATTATCATTTATGAGAAATGTGGGAAAAATTTATGTTGCACGAGTTGACGATGAAAAGAATTCAGTACACATAATATAAAATCACCCTTTCGAAATTTCCTTTTCTTCTTCTCTTTTTGATTTTATATTTTGATTCGAATTCATAACGACCGTTTGATTCCTGCGATCACTTTTGCTTTTATGATAAAAAAAAAAAAAAACGAATTCAATCTAATAAATCCATTGAATTCAATAAATTCTTTTTTTTTTTTTAAATCGATACAAACGAAATTTTTGTTTTAAAAAAATGAAATTAATTATATAAAATGAATGTAAACTTAACCTTATTTAAAAAGCTTTATGAACGGTAATGAATAGAAATCACACACCGCCTTTTAAAAATATTTTTTCAACCGTTTATTGCCGCCATGTTGAAATTCAAAATTTATCGAATGTTTCAAAGTAAATATTTATTATCAATCATTTTTTTCATTTTTTTTTTTTTTAATTTAAATTTAAATGTTTTTAACGTTTTTAATGTGAAAACAAAGACGGATAATAAAAAAAAAAGTAATGAAAAATTATTGATTTAATTATAAATAACGGTAAGAAATATTAATTAATGTACGATAATAATTAATATAAACGAATTCGAAGTAAATGAACTGTATATACAGTTATAATAGGAATTCGTTAACGGTAAAATATAAGAAAACGATAATAATAATAATAATTTTTTCTTTAACTCTCGTATGTAAGCAATTGATTAAGTTGAAAAAAAAATATGGAGGCTAAGAAACGAACGAACAAACGTGTATAAAAACGTTATTTTCCATTATCTCAAGACAATCATTTAACCGACATCGTTTTCATTTCCTTTCAATGGCAGAAAATTTCCTTTTTAACTTTCTTAATTACTTTAAAAACGAGATATATAGATATATTAAATTAAGAAATTGCTCTCACATTTTAATTTCTCCTCTCTTTAATATAAACTCGAAAACTTTTTTTTTTTTTTTTTTTTATTACGTTTTCCGTTATATTTATTACCCACCCCCCCTCTCTCTCTCTCTCTCTCTCACTCTCTTCTATCAAAATTTAAATTTTGAAAAAAAAAAAAACAAAAAACAAAAGGTCGAAATAATAATAAAAAAAAAAAAAAAAAAAAAAAAAAAGGAAAGAAAAAATTTATTTTCGTTACGTTTAAATTAATTTTTTATTTCCGCCATTTTTTTTTTTTTTTTTTAATCAATTTTCATTGTGCGAAATGATAAAATGGATTAATTCGGGGATTAAAAAACGATAAATAAAAAAAAAATTAAAACGATGATGACAGTTTTTCATTTCATTTTTGGGTTTTCTTTTCCCTTTTTATTATACGAATTAACGGTCAAAGATATTATTATTATTATTAATACGATTTCGATTTAACGGAAAAATAAACGATTCGATTAATTTTAATGCGTTCGTGTGAACGTAATCCGTTCGTTCGATAACAAACGAAAACAAATTTTCTTATTTAAATAATTAATAACTTTATTATCAAAAAAGGGAAAAGAAAAAAAAACCGTTATTAATTATTTACGTTCGATTTATAAGAAGAAAAATTCGTTGGTTACACGTCATTCGAACGTTTATTTGAAAAAACAAAAACAAAATCATAGAGTAAATAAACTCATTTTTTTTTTTTTTTTTTTTTTTTTATTAAACGGAAAGAAAAAACTTTTTGGCGCGATTCCTTATTACAAATCAAATAAATAATTTCATTAAATTAAATTAAAAAAAAAAAAAAAAAAAGGTTCAGTCGACTAATTTAAATCTGGTACGATTGGTATAAACCTGGCTTCGAGCCATTTTAAATGCGGTAAAAAAAAAAATCTGTCGTCTGCTTAGTTTGCCAAAAAAAAAATTCCATTTGGAAAATTTTTTTTTTTTTTAATTAAAAACAAAAATAATAAATAAATAAATAAACTTTTATTTCGCGTTAATTAATTAATTAATTAAAAAAAGTAATCAAAAAGGAAATAATAATTATTATTATCATCATCATCGTCAAAGGTAAAAAAAAATATTATTATTATTATTATTTAAAATAGAAAATGGTAAAAGGAAGAAACAAAGAGGTTTAAATTATGAAAAGATGAAAAACAAAAACAAAAAAAAAAAAAAAAAAAAAAAAAAACTTTCCAGACGTTTTCCATAATATTCCAACACTCAATTAAACTTAAATTAATTTTGTTAATGACGATAATGATAATAATAACGATGGTGATGATGATAATGATGATGATAATATTTATTTATTTACTTCCACTCTCTCTCTCTCTCTCTCTCTCTCTCTCTCTCTTTCTATCTTTCTCTTTCGAATAAATTAAAACAAGGTAAAAGTTTATATTTGAACCGACATGTTTGTTTTTTAAATTAATTTATTATTATGGTCACTCTTAAACACGACAAGGCTCTTATTTGTCGGGGTTGTTAAGTATTTATCCCAGGTCTCTACCCGATTCCTTAGGGACAAATACTCGAATATCGGTGGTGCTATTTATAATATTTTCCGAAGAATGTGGGCCGTCCCACATAGTGCGATTTCCTGGATGGTTTCTTCTTTTAGGTTCTTCATAATCTTCTTTAAATTTCCTTTTATTGAATGTGGCATGGCTCCCAATGCTCCCACGATGACCGGAATCGTTTCAGTTTTTGTTCCCCACATCCTGGTTATTTCAATTTCCAAATTTCTGTATTTCAGCCTTTTGTCTGCTTCTTTGGCTGTGGTGTTTTTTTCTGCCGGCACGGATACCTCAATTAACTTACACCATTTTTCCCCATTATGCCTGAGTATGATATCCGGTTTGTTAGCTGGCACAGTTCTATCAGTGTGGATTTGTTGATCATATAGAACTGTGCATGGGCCTACTGTCGTGACCGGGCTTGGAATGTGGTTGTACCACTCCTTGGGTAATCCATCCATTCCATATTCTCGGCATATATTCCAATGGAGATATTGACATATTTTATTGTGCCTTTCTAAGTATTCATGTTTTGCCAGTATCGGACAACCGGAAATTAAATGATCGATGGTTTCCGATTGTGATTGGCAAATTCGGCACTTGTCATCTTGGCGGACTTTGAGAATTACTTTTTCATAGTTATGGGTCCGCAATGCCTGATCTTGAGCCGCTGTAATAAACGCTTCTGTTTCTATTTTAAGTTTTCCACGTCGTAGCCAATTGTGCGTGCTCTTCTTATTAATATCTTCGGCATTTATTCTTTTTAGGTATTGCCCATGTAATTTTTTCTGTTCCCATTTGCCTTTTAATTTCTTCTGAGATTGGGCTTTGCTATTATAAGTTGCAAGTTGCCCCTCTTCCATTATCTCATTTTCTTTATTTTCTTGGACGATTTGTTTTGCCCTTTTCAGAACTCCTTTTTTAGTAGTTTTTTCTTCTGCATGTATAACTTGGGCTAAGATGGGGTCCTCTCGATGGGATTCTATGTATTTTCCCATTCCAATTATGGCATTCTGGTATGCCGCTTCTATTTGTCGTAATCCTCTTCCTCCATCTTTCCTGCTGACGTACAATCTATCCACATCAGCTTTTGGATGTAACGCACCATTCATGGTTAATATTTTTCTTGTCCTTCTATCTAGGTGCGTGATTTCTTCTTTCGTCCAGTCTACGAGGCCAAAACTATATTCTATTACAGGAACTGCTAATGTGCCGACGGCGGTTATCTTATTTCTTCCATTCAGTTCCGACTGTAATATAAGCCTCAATCTTTTAAAATACTCTTTCTTCAATCGCGGCTTGATTTCCTCATTGGCAACCCCAAAATTTTCTTCAATCCCCAGATATTTGTATGATGATCCAGGGTCCAATTCTTTAATAAGTTCTTCTTCGGAGTCTTCTATATTTTGCTTTTGTTTTAACTTTCCTCTGACAATATTTATTCTGGCACATTTCTCTAACCCAAATTTCATGTTGATGTCAGAGGAAAAGGTTTGAACCGTCCGTAACATTTTATTTAACTCCTCTTCATTTTTCGCATAAATTTTTAAATCATCCATATATAGCATGTGGGTAATTTTCTTGCCTCCCGGTACCAACTCATATCCTTGATCCTTGATATTAAGCTGTCTGGACAGAGGAATTAGAGACATGCAGAATAAAAGTGGCGACAATGAATCTCCCTGAAAAATCCCTCTTTTTATAAATATTTTTCTAGAAGAGTATTTTTGCACTTCCAGCTGGGTGCACCAATTTTTCATACTCTTCTCGCAGAACGCTGTAATTTTAGGGTCTACTTTATATATTTTCAGTGCCTCAATAATCCATTCGTGAGGCACACTATCAAAGGCCTTTTGATAGTCAATCCATGCCATGCTTAAATTCTTCCTCTTTTGTTTTGCACTGGCCATGATCAATTTATTTATTAATAAAACCTCCTTGCAGCCGTAAGACCCTTTTCTACATCCATATTGTTCAGGAGGAAAAATGTTATTTTTTCTTAAATGCCCATAAATCTTTTCAGCAATAATAGCTGTTATTATTTTATACATTGTGGGCAAACAGGTAATTGGCCGAAAATCTTTCGGTTCCATAGCTCCTGATTTTTTTGGCAGCAAATACGTTTTTCCTGTGGTTATCCATTCTGGCATTTCTTGCCGTCCCATTATTAATTTATTTATGGATACCAGTAAATACTTATGGGTACTTGTAAAATTCTTAATCCAAAAATTTTGTACCCTATCTAATCCGGGACTTTTCCAGTTGGCCGTGTTTTTTAGGCATATTTCCAAATCTGCCATTATTATATCCGACATTGTTGAAGAAGCAATCCAGGCATTATTATTATTATTATTATTATTATTATTATTTATTAAAATTTACAGTTTAATAATAAATATTTATCGAAACGAATAAATAATGATAATAATAATAATATCGGTAAAATAAATAAATAAATAAAATTATGTATTATATTTAACGGTTAATTTTTCCGCGACGGTTTTTTTTTTTTGTTTCGTTCAGAAGTTCAGAAGGATAAATCTGATGTGTTTGTTTTTATTTTGCGTAGTATTATTTATAGCAAAGCTTTCAACTAATGAAAATTTTCTAGAAAAATCGATGATGATGATGATGATGATGATGATGATGATGATGATGATGACGTTACAGATGAGACCTGAACGGTGAAAAAAAAAAAAAGGAAAATTTTGTCCTCTTTTACCGCGTTTACCAAACTCCGTTTATTTATTTATTTATTTATTTCCGTTTAAAAATTAATAATAATAATAATAATAAATTATTAAATTCTTAATTTATTATTATTATTATTATTATTTGGTTAATTAAAATTTAAAAGAATTGATATTACGCGTTTGATAAAAAATTTTTCCCTTTTGTTGTAAAGCTCGAAATTTTTTTTTTTTTTTTGTTCCACTTTAATTTTCTCTTCCCCTCCTCCCCCTTCCTCCCTCTCGTCCCCTCTACTCCCCCCCCCATTTTTTTTTTTTTTATTAAAAAATACCTTTTGTTAAAACGTCAGTAAAATTTTTACGTACGTAAATAAAATAAAAATTTCACACAAAAGAAAGAAAGAAAGAAAGAAAAAAAAGCAATAAAAATTATTTTTACCCTTTGACCTCTCTATATATATTCTTCCCTCTCCCACCCCTTCCTCCCCCTCGACACTTTAACGTTAATATCTGTGATTTTGATTTTTATTAGCGTGTTTATTATTATTATTATTATTTTCGAACGAGAGGGAAAAATATGGAAAAATATCGAAAAATTGAAATTTTAACATTTTTTTTATTTTTTATCCTCATAAATCTTAAAAATCTTATTTCCGGCGGATTTTTTTTATTTTTCCCATCGAAAATATTTAAACCGGAAGTTAATTAATAAACACCTTAAACGATTAATAATAAATAAATTTTTTTTTATCTTTGACCTTTTTTTCATAAAAAAAAAATTAATTAAATTTATTTTTTACACCCTCGTCATTAGGAAACGTTTGATATTTTCACCTTTTTTTTTTTTTTTTAATTTTCATTTCCGGTTAAAAATTTTCCACCTCTTTCCTTTTTCTAGAATTTTTTCTCCTTTTCTCTTTAAATGTTTAATTAATTTATAAATATATTTAAAAATTTGTTTTTTTTTTTTCTTTTCAGGCGTTTGTCGTTCGTCGTTTGTTGTTTGTTCATCACGTGATTCGGAATAAAATTTTATTTTATATCAAAAGGTAAGTCCGTATTATCATTATCATCATTCCATTAATATTTAACTTTTTTTTTTTTTTTTAAATGACGAATATTAATTAATTGCGGTTTAAATGCTTAAATGACGTCACATGACGTAAAAAAGCCGACATTTTGTTTTAAAAATTTATCCAACAAATTTTTTTTTCTTTTTTTTTTTTTCGTTTCTTTTTAAATAATTCAACAGAGATTTTTTTTTATTTTTTTATATTTTACTTATATATAAATATATATAAAAAAAAATATTTGAAACATTATACGACAGTTATAAATCCAACCGACACGAAAAAAAAAAAAAAAAAAAAAAGATTTGAAAACCACAATTGATGGATTTTTAATCCTCGAGCTCAACACAAAAAAAAAAAAAAAAAAAAACCGACTTAAAGAATATAAAATAGTAAAAAAAAAAATAAAAAATCAAATCCGTTGGTGTAGGAAAAAAAAAAAAAGGGCAAAACTTTTAACACGAGCGCCAAACCGAAACGAAATAATAATGATAATGATGGACGAATGAAAAATATGAAGAAAAGGATGAATTGTCAAAAAAAAAAATGAGGATGAGTACCTTTGGCGAATGAAGAAATGGGTAAAAGTTCTTCGGGTACCTTGAAAATCCCCCGAAAAGGATTTTCCAACATCACAACAGGGGACAACGAGTTTCGAAATCACGTGACTCCTTTAAAAGAAGGGGAGAAGTACAGAAATGAAAGGTTTAATGTTAACATTTATTGTTATTGTTGTAAAGTTGGTGGTAATGGTGGTGGTGACGGTGGTGATGGTGGTGAAAATTTATTTTGATTAATGTTGTTAAACATGAAATCTGTCGAAATGAGATAGTATTAACTATTTTCCAGTGGAGTTCATCATCATCATCATCATCATCGTGGTGAAATGATTAATGGGAATCCATGAAAAGTTGCCCTACAACATCACTACTCGGCTTGTTGTACAAACAGATTTTCTATTTTATTTTGGGAAAAACAAAATCACTTAAACGTGGTGAAGTAAAGTTAGAAGATTCGCAGGGGTGCCAACGTACCCTCCTCATCATCACTTCCGTATTATGTAAATTTAATGTTTTTTTTTTTTTTTATTTATACGTTTTTGATAAAACTAAAATTTTATGGATAATCTGAGCGAAGGATAAGAAGAAGATTAATAATAAAGATCCCGATCCTGATTATTCCAGACGTGTTTTTGTCACCGGATTCCAGTTTGGGAATATGTCGGACTCGGGAAGATTCAAGACAGAAATTTATTTAGTGTTATTTAAAACGAAACCCATTCAGCCAAGGCATTCATTCATTCATTCATTCCTGAGGGAATTACGTGCAAAGACGTGGAAAAATTTGCCGCCATAAAAAATAAATATATATACGTATAAAGAAAATTTGCCGCCATTTTGAATTTAGTAATAATAAGAAATGAAGGAAGAGTGCGCTAGTGTGCTATGGCCGACACACGAGTTTGCATCAAGTCTACGACTTATTTAAAATAATTTTATAATAGTTTTATTTAACAGTTAAATTGTAAGTTATATATATCAAAAGTTTTGTCATTTAATCTAGTTTATTGTGATGTAATTAGTTTTTTACATTATTCATTGATAATCATATTATTTTAGGTTTTGAATAGTCGACGGCTACACGTGGGGCAAAAGGAAGCGTGGGGAATGAAAAATTTTTAAAGATGCCTTTGTACAACTGAACGTTATGAGTAAGTACCTCATTTTAAAACTTTAATTTCACTTTTGAAAAAACGTTAAACAAAAATGTGGTGCAAAAACTTTTAAAACAAAAAAGTTAAGTTTTACATTTCTTTTGTTAAGTGTAAGTAGTTTCCATTAAATATCTCTTTCATCTCATAATCATAAAAAACAACAAGACTTGAAGTGATTTAATAAAAATAATTATTAATAATGATTGATATATATTAACTCGTTGTAAAATTTCTATAGTCTCTAATGTGTAAGGGTTAATTTGCTGATTGTAGGTTGTTTTTCCTCGAGTTGGTTTGTCTCGTTACAACATGGTTTATCATAGTAGAGATAGTGTAATACCCCTTTTAAATCTGTATCGAAATCAAAATTATTGTAGTGAGTAAGGAATTATGAAAAGGCAGATGACAGATTCTTCATTTAATAATATTTCTCCACCTCTTGAGCTAATTATAAGTAGTCAAGTTAAATACTACCTGTCGTACTAAATGAAAATAGAGGTTGTTCGATAAAAATGCTTGTGATTAATTAATTTAAGGTATCAAAGTGTGAAAATAAATTCTCTGTACTCCCATGTATTTTAAGCGAGAATCCATTGTTTGAATTTTATTTTATTCTTTACCTCCATTTTCTTATGTTTGTCTGTTACATTGCAAAATATTTTACGATTTGAAGCATGAAAAATTCTCGTTTGTTTGAACCATATTTTACATCTCCATTTTCTTCTTATGTTTGCCTGATACATTTCAACATATTTTACCATATTTTTAGTGTGAAATTTTGAACTGCCTTTTTCAGATTACTTCTCGAGTTTGTCGATACAAAATTGTAATTTGTATATTGTGTGCGAGACCCAAAAGAATGGAATGCATTAGGGAAAATTATGAAAAGGGGATGGAAATAGTAGGGAAATTAAGTATTGAAATAGTTTTAGGGAAAAAGTTATATGAGAACTGATTTGTAATTGTAATCGAGGGAAATGAGAACCAATAGGCAAAATGTTGTTCTTCTATTGTCCACTTTAATCAGCTCGTTAAGGTTCTTCCTGGCTCCACTCGACAGATATCAGTCGCTTAAGCCCATTATAGGAGATAACTCGTTTTCATCGAATAAGACAGGTCTGAGTTAGATTTTTTCAAGGATTGTTGTGATTATGAGTGAAAATAATAATAATAATAATTAATAATAAACAGGAATATTTTTTTAAAATATTTATATTAATCAATCATATATATATATATATATATATATATATATATATATGCATGTACTTAACTGATATTACCAGTCTTAATTTAATTTAACTTGAAGTCTATTTAAAAACAAATAATATAAATTTCATTTCTTTTTCTTTCTCTCACTCACTCACTAACTCTCTCTCTCTTTCTCTCTCTCCCTCTCTCTTTCTATATATATATATATGTATAAATTATTTTCTACAAAAATAAAAAATAAAATTTTTTGCACCACATTTACTTAATTATTTATTTATTTATATATGTACTGTATGTGTATGCTTACTCTCGTTTAAATAAATAAATAAATAAATAATAATAATAATGATAATGATAATGATAATAATAAAATTTCATCTAAACATATTTATATATATAAAATATAATAGAAAGCGGAAATAATATCAAAATAATAATCGGAAAAAAAAATATACATATAAATAATAATAATAATAATTTTTTTTATTTTTTTTTATCGGAACGAACGCGACGTCGTCGTTATTACATTATCATTATCATTATTACTATTAACAACAAAATTTAGGGGGATTTTCGCGTGAACATCTTCCTCTTCCTTCCCTTTCCCCTTTCCCCTTTCCCTTCCTCTTTTCCTTTTCACTACATCTCATCTTTATCACGTTCCGAAGGTAACGTTAAGTGTTAAAAGATCCATTGGCGTTATGAGAACTTCATCGAAATTTTGATATTTTTTCAGGTGGTGGAGTCCAGTGAGCGACGTGCGAGATATCGAAAGGACTTTGACATCGTTGAGTGAAGTCTTCCTGTGGAAAAGTGAAGAAGAAAATGCGGGAGCCGGAGATCCGTCGGAGGACTTTTCTCTCGGAGAAGAAAGAGCACATTTGGGGATTTTAGTGTCTACGCTCACGTCGCACGCGTGACCCTGCTTTTGAAATATCATCAAACAACTTCCGCTCGGAAATTGGGAATTGTCCGACAGAGTTCTCATGTTCACGAGGTGAACGTCACACGGTAATGGACGATTTAATAAATTTAATTTCTTATTTAGTATCACATGATCGGATGGAACCGTTTTCTTCGGATCGTCAACGATTTTCTCGATAATGAACACGTTCAAAGGATATAGGAGACCGTTACTCATGTGGTGCGCGAAAAGACTCGGAAGGGAAAGCTTGTCCCTCGTTCCCCCTTCTCCTCCACCTCCTAGTCCTCCTTCCTTACCCGTTCCCACTTCTTCCAGGAGCATCCAATATTTCGAAAGTGTTCGCTTGTTGTCTACGATTCCTTCTCCCATTCCTCGCGAATCGTCGTATAAAGTTCGCCTATCGAGCATGACTTCCAAGTGACCGGGTTGCCACGCGGACGCACCCTGAGCGTGATCGACGAGAAAACTCAAACGTCTCTTGTTGTCTTCTATGTAGGCCATAGTCGTGACGGGAAAGTAATTACCCTCGATTCCGATACGTTCGACTTTGACGCGTTTCTGCATTTGAAAACCGTTGAGATCGGAATAGAATTCGGGGGGGTCACCGTTCGTTATATCACTCACGACTCTCATGAACAATTCCGTTTCGCGATTTTTCGGGGGGGCTTCGAAATCTATAACGTTCTCTATGTAAATCCCTTCGCTGAGCGGTCCGTTCGCGTGATAAATTCTAACGAAGTGATTTAACATTTTACCGTAGACGACGTTCAATTGCGACGCGATCGGTCCCGAAGTTATGACGACTTGTTGCGTGTCCTCTTCGAGTACTTCGTGTTCGGGATCGCGAGAATGGGGATCCGGCATGAAGAGATAAGCTCCGCTGTGAAATTGGGCGCTCGGATACGCGGCGAATTGTAAAGCGCATTGCGTCACCGTTCCCGTCGACTTTTTCGTAACGGCTTTGAGAAATCCGCTTCGTCCGTCTATGAGTAATTTCATTTTGTGATTTTCCAATTGAACGTCACCGGGTTGTATGTTTTTCATTTCGAACTGATTCTTATCCGCGCTTTTCCAACAATTCTTACAGTACACGGTCGCGCGAACGTCTCCGTTATCGTTACCGTTATCTCCGTCGTTGTATTCGATCGTGAACGTCGTCAAACTCAAACCCGGTAAATCCGCGACGAACATGAGCTCGTAAACTCCTTCGACGATTTTAAATTCGTTTTCGATAACTTTTTCCGGTTCCGCGTATCTTTGAATTATCTTTTCCGGGTTCGTCGTCAAATTCCAAACGGGATTTATTTGTATGGGTATAACGTTGTCGTTCGAGTCCGTTACGCGAACGTTCGGATCGGATATTTGAACCGTCACGATGTCCTGTCGCTGTTGTCCCAACGAATTGAATACGACGATCGTTCTCTTACCGTTTTTCTCAACGACGATGGGGATTTTTTTCGCGAGCCTTTCGTAGCTTTCCCTTTCGGTGTCGGGGAGGAGCCAGGATGACGTAGAGGGATGATTATTCATGGAATGCCATTTGTCGTCGTCGTCTTTCTTCCCGAGTCCTCCGTCGTTCGCCAGCAGGGTTTGAATGGAAAAACTTTGTATGTGAAGAGTGTCTTGTAAACTTTCGAAGAGTTTAACGGCGTAGTCGTGCATGACGAAAGATTTCGATGTTCCGGTGATGGCGTCGTGATGTTGAAACAACCCTAAATTCTTGCGGGATTTGGTGAGTTTTTCGTAGTCTCTTTCCAATAGTTTGACCGTGTTGTTGAATCCGATTTGTTTGGCTTTGTTCAACGCGAACGTGTACAATATTTCCGCGCTCCTCAAATTTCCCTCCAATTCTCTATCGAGTATTTTCCAATACGGACGAGTCGTGAAATATCCGGACCAATACGCGGGTCTACCCTCGGAAAAAATATCGCTGTAAACGAAAAAATCACCCTTGAGACTTTGAAACGCTCCCTTCGTCCTTTCCTTGATTTCATTGAAGTAATCGTTGAGAGTTCCAAAAACGACTTCGGCTTTATAAGTTTCCTTGTTCGCGTTTATGTAGTCGAATAATTTCTTGTAATTCTTGTACTGTTGATCCCATTCAATGTCGTATTCGTAGCGGAAATCGTCGCCCAGGGGCATGAGCACGACGTTGTGAGGAAACAAACTTCCCGTTCTTCCGTATTGATTCAAAAGGAGTTCGGCTTTCTGTTTTAAATTTCCATCGTCGATGGGAACGGCTTTTATCGAATATTCCGTGTATTCTCCGGGTATCTTGCGAAAATCGAAATTCAAACACACTTGAGGATGTGGACCGCACGAGTGCTTGATCGAGTATATGTCGAAGGGTTGATTGTGCGTCAATATGTCCGTATGGCCGTCTTGATCCCAATTTTGTCGCCACATAAAATCTCCCATTTGACGTTGAGCGAGCCAATGTTTCCATGCGTAGTGAATTCTCTGTATGACGGTTCCGCCGGTCAATCCGGAGGATTTCAAAAGATAGGGAACGGTCGAACCGTGACCGAACGGATCCACCGACCAACCCGTTTGCGGAGTCAAATTCAAATTATTTTTCATCCACTGGTGTCCTGAAACGAAAACAAAAGAGAGAAAGTGTGAGTGAGTGAGTGAGTGAGAGTGAGAATAATTTCGTTTCGTTTTGTTCTCCCCCCACCCCACCCCACCCCCGAAACGTCGAACGTGAAACGTGGAACGAACGAAAGAACGAGTGAACGCATCCCACGCACACGTCATTTCCGTTTTAGTAATTATAATAATAAATTGTATTCCGTTCGCGAATACTTTTTTTTTTTTTTTTTTTTTTTTTTTTGTCATTTTTCCGCCACGTTTTTATTTATTCATTTCGCAACTTTATTAATATTAATAATAATAATAATAATAATAATAATTATTATTATTATTATTATTATTATTATTATCATTGTGATAATAAATTAAACGAAACATCACACGCACGTATGAAATGCATAAAAAATAAAATAAAATAAAATTTAAAAATGAAAAAGGAAAATGAAAATTATTTTTATCATTATCATTATCATTTACCTTTCTTTTTTTTTTTTTTTTTTTTTGTTCGAAACTGTAAAGCGGAAGAAAACAAAAAAATAATAATAATAATTATGAATGGGGGAAGAGGGGAGAGGTGGGGAAAATATTCGGTTCGAATTTTTTCCGGTTTTCAATGTTTTCACATTTATTCGAGAAAAAAAAAACCAACGAAAAAAAAACAGGAAATAAAAAATAAAACAAATAAAAAATGCAACGAGGTGGTTGTTAGGGAGAAGGGGTAGTGGGGGGGAGGAGGAGGAAGAAAAAGGAGGATTCCCATAAGAATGCAAAACTCAAAATAAACTCATTAAATAAATTGAAAATGAAAAAACGAAAGAAAAAGAAGAAAAAAACCTGAAAATACGTTTAAATCGTTTTTGCAAACGGGGGGCGGGGGTACGCGCCCGCCCGCGCGCGCGCGCACACACACACACACACACAATTACGATAATGAAAAACAGCAGCAGAAGCAAAAACAACAAGAACAACAGCGGACGCCATATTTTTTACTTTTTTATTTATTTTTAACACCCTAACTTTGAAATTTTGCAAATTAGAAGATATTATTAATACGTAAAAATAGTAATAATTTTTTTTCCTACCTTCCTCTCTCCCTCCCCCCTCTCTCTCCCTTTCTCTCTCTTTTTATTTCTTTTAGAGTTTTAAAAGTGGTGAGAAAACGACAGTAAAAAAAAAAAAAAAAAAGTTCCCACTTTCTCTTCCTCTTTTTATCTCGGAGGAGTTTTGAATTTTGTTTTAGTTTTCATTTACATTTCAATTTCTTTATTTTCTCACACGCATGCACGCACGCACACACACACTCTCTCTTTCTCTTTCTCACACACTCGCACACCTTTTATCATTCTCTATTTCTCTCTCTCGCTCTCTTTTTTAAAAAGGAAAAACAACAAACGTCTGGAAAAATATATAAATAAATAAATAAGCAAACAAACTAACAAACGCGTTTGTTATTTTTCACGGTTTTGAAAATGTTAAACGAAAAAAAAGGGGGGTAGGGGGAGGGAAAAAAACACACGCACACGCAACCTTTTCCACGAGTTAAACGTGACAAATTTTACATTTTTCTTCTACTACACACGTCGTTTTAAGAGTGGTGATGATGACAATGATGATAATAATAATAATAATAAGAATCGTTCTATTTTAAAACAATGTTTCGAATTACGCGATGACGATGATGACGTCATCGTTCGACGTCATCACGACTTTTCGACTTTGTTTGATTCCTGAACGTGGAAAAAAGTAAACGAAAACGAAATGAAAACAAAAAAAAAAAAGGAATAAAAAAGGAAAATACGTGTGCGTGAATCGAGATTATTAAAAATTAATGAAGTAAAATATTAAAAAATAATAATAATAATAATAAAGGGTAAAGAGGGTGTACAAAAAAAAAACAGGGCTGAGGAGGAGTGGGAAAGGTGGGAGATGGGAGAAAATCCCTCGATAATTATTATTATTTTTAATGAACGCATTGAAAATTCTTTTTCTAATTCTTTCTCTTTCTCTCTCTCTCTCTTACTCTCATCACCCCTTTCGCTCTCTCTCTCTCTCTCTCTTTACGAAAGGTAAAAAACGTAATAGAAAAGGTTTAACGTCGGATTAAAATATTGTAAACAGAAAAAAAGGAAAAAAGAAAAAAAATCCCCTAATAAAACATCAAGTGGCATCGATGGAGAAAAAAAATAAAAGAAAATCATTTAAAAACCTAAACACACAAAAGGTTAAGATGAAGAAGAAGAAGGAGAGAAGGAGGAGGAAAGATGGAAGAAGAGGAGGAGGAAGAAGAAGAAAAAATGAATAAGAAGAAAAAGAAAAAAAAAGGGGAGAAAAAAATATGAGAGAGTTTTAATGCCGGTTGATAATCGGTTTAAATGAAAATAAATAAGAAATAAAAGGTTTGACCCTTTGACCCCCCCCTGTCTATATCATTTTTCCCATCGTCATCCCCTCCTCAATACGACTCTTAATTTTGGCGGGAATTTTAAATTAAAAAAAAAAAACTTTCCGATGATAAAATCCCCCCCGGTCGAGGGAAAAAATTTTTTGTCCCGATTCGAAAAACATCCCCCCGTAGTCACGTTGAACTTTTGCCCTTTTCTTCTTCTCCTCTCTCTCTCCCCCTCTCCCTCCCCTCCCTTTTCTCCTCTCGCGTGTTTCTTCCTCCGGGACAAACAAAAAAAAAAAAAATTTTTTTTTTACTTTCCCTTTATTAAATATCATTATTGAAAGTATTAATTTCTCGTTAAGAGAGGAAGTCGAACAAAAAAAAAAAAAAGTTTCGGAAACTTTTTTCTTTCTTTTTTTTTTGTTTTTTTTTTTTTTCACGAAAACACGGAAAGGTAAAATAATAATAATAATAATAATAAACTTTCTACGTGATCCCTCTCACCCCTCCCCCTTTTCCCCTTCCCGTCCCCCCTCCAAATACAAACTTTTTCCACATCAAATATTAGGTTTTTTAACAACAACAAAAAAAAAAAAATTTCGAGAGGCGGATTAGGGGGAGGAGAAGGGAGAGAGAGGCGGCGATGGAGTCAAAAAAGAAAACCGGAAAAAGAAGTTTAAAAAATAATAATAATAATAATAAATCGAAATATCACGTTTCTTTTTTTGAAAAAAAACTTTTCTCTAAAAAAAAAAAAAAAAAAAAAATCGACCGAAACGAAACCTTCTCCTCCTTCCTCATTATAAAACTTTTTTTTTTTTTCATCCAGATTCGATTCCAGTCCACCCCCCCTCCCTCCCGATTACTTTTTTCTTCTTCCCGGAGTAGGAAAGAAAAGAAAAAATTCTTTTCCCGAATTCGATTCGGGTTTCCCACGAGCGAAGGTTTTTTTTTTTTCCTCTTTCTCGCGAAAGGTTTAATTTGATTTATAAAACTCTTCGTAACTTTCAAGGAGCAACGAATACAAAACGGGGGGCGGGGAGAGAGAGAGGAGGTGAATGGGAATCACTAAAGAGAGAGAAAGACAGAAAGAGAGAGAGAGAAAATATGAATAAGAAAAAAAAAATCTTTTATCAAATTCAAGCTGCCATGATTGATAGATAGATATTGAATGGGAGATAAATGATGATATGACGTCACGTGACCTTACTCCCCGTGCCCCCCAAAATAAAAAAAAAAAAAATTTTTTTTTCTTACCTTCAATGAGTTGATCGAGCATTCCGTAAAAATGTGCCGTCGCTTCGTCCGTCATGACCCAACCTCCGGTTGTTATTTCCAATCTTCCTTCGTCTAAAAGTTTTTTAACCGTGTGTTTCTTCGTAGGATGAGCGCTGGAAACAAACAAACAACAAACAAACAAAAAATTAATAATAATAATATTATAAAAACGATACAACAACACTCGAATGAAAAAAGATTTTTAAAAAAATTTTTTTAAATATAAATATAATTTTTTTCACTTCCGGTATTTAAATTTTTTTAATTTCCCTTCCGTTTCCTCTTTTCTCCTCTCCTCTCTCTCTCTCTCTCTCTCTCTCTCTCTTTCCCTTTCGTTCTCCTCGACTTGGGAAAAAAAAGAAAAATTCAAACGGATGAAATTATATAGACGCAGACAAATAAATAAATAAAGGAAGAAAGGAAGGATGGGTCCATTTATCAGAGATGCCAACTTAACAAAAATATAAAATAATAAATCCGGTCGGTACGCTCCATTTTTTTTTTTTTTTTTTTTTGTTCTTTTCTTTTCAAGACGTCGTCGTCTATCGAAAATAATGATTATAATAATAATGATAATAATAATAATAATAATATTTTTAAAGGACCCCCCCTTTACTTACGAAAAAAATAAAATAAGAGGAGACGGTGGGAGTGGGGAATGTGGGCGGGACGGGGAGAATAAAAAAAAACGTAAATCAAATTAAAAAATCTGAAACAGACGAAATAAGAAAAAAAAAAAAAAACTTTGGAAAAGCGAGGGGAGGGAAGGGAGGAAAAGAAAAACGAAAAAAAAAAAAAAAATTTCGGAAATAAATTTGTACGAATCGTAACAGACGACAAAAGTTTTTATTTATTTATTTATTTATTCTATGACGTTCTTCGTTACAACACACAACAAAAAAACTCGATTCCAGTGGCGGATTCAGGTTTTATCATCAAATAAATTTTTTTTTTTTAATTGCAATGTCATAGAGTCAATAAAATTCGTAAACGTTACGGCGGGGGGAGGGAAAAGGGGAAGGAGGCGCACGAAAAAGATGAAGAAGACGACGAAAATTATTATTATAATCATTTCAAAAGACTAAGAAAAAGGGTTTCAATTTTCAAAATGGCCGCCGCGGAATTATTATTATTATTAATCGAAATGAGTTGATAATAATTAGAAATACCGAATTAATTATTATCATTATTATTATTATCATCATTTGAATTGATTATGAATCGAATTGATGATTGAAAATTTTCATTTCCACTTTTTAATCCGTTAGATAAATAAAATGCGTTGAATAATTTATTCAAAAGAGAAAAAGGAAAACTAATTAGAATCTCATTCAATACATTTTATTTATTCTATCATTATTTTGTCTATATATATATATAAAGAGAAATCAAAACAAACGGAAAAGAAACAACGACAAACGACGATTCCGCGACGGCAAAAACTAATCTAAAAAGAAAAACATTTTTCCGCCGCCATGTTTGTTACCCGAACCAAGTATTACGTCATCTATACCTAAAAAAAACCCTCTGATGGTATTTTTAGGAATTAAAAAAAAAAACATTTTCTTTTTATTTTTTTTTCCTTTTCGTTTCTTAATTAGAAAAAAAAAATTTTTTTTGTTCCTTTTTTCCTTTTTTTCTATCTTAAATTTTAAAAGTGAGGGGAGGGGGGTACAAAAAAAAAGAAAAGTCGAATAACAACAACAACAACAACCTTTTCATTATCGAAAAAAAAACAGGAAGGATTTGATTCGTACTTTGGAAAAGAAAAAGAAATAACGGGGAGAAGGACCCCCCCCCCATTCGACTTATTAATTTGTGAATTCGTCATTTAAAATAAAAACGAATTGGAAAAAAAAAAATTGTAAAACGAAACCTGGAAACGAAAAAAAACGAAAAACGGGGGGATCCGGACGCGATAATTAAAAACCTGGAAAAGAAAATTCGAGAAAAAATAAATAAATCGTTAAAAAAAATTTTTTTTTTTTTCCGTTCAAAGGAAACAAAATATTGTAAAAAGAAAAATGTGACGGTTATATTTTGATTCACGTGACCGGAAAAGGAAGGGGAAGTAGAAAATCCGCCATTTTTTTTCAAATCGCGTAACATAACGAAACTTTTATTAACCCGGAAAAAAAATTCTTTTCTTTTCTACTTTTCTACTTTTTTATTTTTCCCCACGTAAAACTTTTCATTTTTGATTAAAAAAAAAAAAAAAAAAGAAAAAATGACGACGTCATAGAATAATTTTCCATAGAGTAACAAAAAAGAAAAAAAAAAGTGACGAAGAAAAGCGTTTTGAGTTGAGTGTTTTTCTCTCTCTCTCTCTTTCTCTCCCTACACTCGACATGTTGTGAGAAACATGCAAATGAACATTTTCTTTTTTTTTCGAACGTTAAAATTTAAAGTCATAGAGTAAAAAAAAAAAAACCTTTTCCGAGTGAAGTAAGTAACTAAATAAGTAAAAAACATAAAAAAGGTTGGCCATATTTTAAATTGACATTTTTTTTTTTCGTCGAATCTTTTTCGCAAAAAAAAAAATGAAAAAAACTTTTGCCAAAATTTTCTTTTCTTATTTCGAAAATAAGGGGACATCATCATCATCATCGTCAACAACAACTCTCATTCGTAAGAAAACTTTTTTTTTTGGGGGGGGGGCAGAGACGGGCGGCTCGGCTGTTTTTTTTTTATTATCCCCCACGCAAATCACGAGAGTCGAATGACTTTTTCTTTCCCCCCCTTCTCCCCATTCTTTAAAAACTTTCGATGATGAATAAAGTTTTTTTTTTTTTTTTTTTTTTGAAAAGCGGTGGGGAACACCACGTGAGGTGAGGGAGGGAGGGAGAGGGGCGGGCACGTGGGTAGGTTAAAAAAAAAAAAAAAAAACTTTCGGATGTAAAATTCATTTTAAAAAAAAAAATTTTTTTTTTTTATTTACAAAAGAGTGACGATTACTTTTACGAGATGGGACACATTTTCACATGAAATGGTTTTTCCCTCCCCCCCCTCTCTCTCTCTCTCTCTTTCTCTCTGTTTCTTTCAAACGGTTATACAATTTACTCCGAGCGTGGGACAAGATTATAAGAGACGTGTCATCAGCAAAAACCCTCATGTTCCAAATCTATATTAAACTTAACAATATAAAAATAACGATACATATACACGCACGCACGCGCACGCACTCACGCACGCACAAAAAAAACCATTTCGGGGGAAAAACTTTACGAAACAAAACGATATTTATCACTCCCACCCCCCCCCCAATTTCGTCGTTTCTCACCGAAAAAATTTCCGCCATATTGAATTCGAAACGTGAAAATAATAGTGATTAAAAAATTAAAATGGATGAAAATTTAAATTATTATACTTTTAAAAAAAATACGTCGAAGCCGCCGCCGTCACCGCCATCATCGTTTTCGTAAATCATACCCCCCGCCCCCACGATAATGACAATCGTTTATCGATAATCGATCGATACGATATATCGATTTTAAGTTGGTAATTTCGTTTTAAGGTGGCCATGACACGAGAGCACGTTAATTAAATAAATTTTCTTTCAACGTCGATCCACGTACACGTTCAAACGGTTTTTCATTTTTGCTCGTCGTCGTCGTCGTCGTCGCCGTCGTCGCCGTCGACGTTGACGTCATCGTTTTTTAACGACGACGCGAATTTTAATGATTAAAAATTTTAAAAATTTTTTAAATTTTTTTACCGGTAAAAATATTAATAAAATAACCGGAGAATGTAATAATAATAATAAAACGCATCGATTCGTCGGATTTTTGTTGGAGAAAACGTTTTCCACACCCCCCTTCTTCCCATCCCCATCACCACCACCACCACCACCGCAGTCCGTCGGAAATCTGATACGATGCCAAATTATTATTTTTACGTTCGTAGTTAATAAAATGGGAAACGATTGAAAACGTTCGTTTAAAAGATCTTTTGCCAGAAAGAAAAATTTTCCTTTTAAAAATGGTTTTAATAGGGGGGGGGGAAAGAAAAAAAAACCGAACGCCTCCACGTCGTCGGACGTTTTTTACTTCAACCGTTTTATTATTATTATTATTATTTCATTTTTAAAACGCTATAAAATCCGCATTACGATTTAATTCGATTGATACGATTCATCGATCGATCGATCTATCGATTGATTGATTGATGTCCGTTCGAGTAAAGGGAAAATAATAAATCGCGCGGAAAAATTCAAACGTTTTCCACGTTATGACGTCACATTTCTCGTAAGTTAAATACGCGATGTATCTTATTCTTTTATTTACTACTACTACTCCCTCTGCACAAAGGGAAACTCGGACGGGGAGGGGAGAAGGGAGAAAGGACGAGCCGTGTAAAACAGAAAAGAAAAAGAAAATTTTTTTATTCTTACCTTTCCCACCATTGTGAAAAAAATGATATTTCAGACCATATGAACGTCATGTTGGGTAAAACTTTTAATTTTTCCGCCATGTTGTTCAGAATGTTTCTGCTGTGGTAGTGAAAATAATTTTCGTAGGTTTTCAACCATCCTGGATCGTTGTGCGAATGTGGTACCAATATGACCTGCGTGATAAAAAAAACCGTTATATTTAAACATTATCATTAATTAAATAATAATAATAATAATAATAATAATTTACGAATTCGTTTCAAATATTAATAAAAATTAATAATAATAATAATAATAATTTATAATAATCAGAAAAAACTTTTATCGTAAACGCTCCACTTATTATTTTCAACTTATTAAATATTCATTAAAAAAAAAAAAATACTAGTGATAATGATGATGACGGTAATGATGATAATAATAATTAATTTAATTTAATTTAATTATTCATGGGATGAAAAAATAAAAAAAAAAATTTTCCAATTAATATATATATATAAATTATTATCATCATCGTCATAATTAAAAATTAATTAAAACTAATCGGAGCGTGACGTCACAGGTACTACTCGTAAAAATTTTTTACGACGACAAAGGAGTTTTATGTGTCGCTGTAGAATCGTAATAATAATAATAATAATAATAATATTTTTCTGGTTTTAATTAATAAAACAACGGAAACGCATTCGAATCTCTACTCCCATCCTGCTCTAGCACCATCACCACCACCATCACCCTTTCCTTCGGGGCCCTTTTTTTTCCTCGTTCGTTTTATGAAATACTACGGGTTTTCAGGTACGAAAAAAAAAACATCTGCAATCCTGTTTTACCCGAGAGAAAATATTATTTTGAAAAAATAAAAAAAATGACAAAATAAAAAATAAAATAAAATAAAAGAGAGAGAGAGAGAGAGGGGGGGGGGAGGGAGGGGAAGCATTCGAGTTGCATCGTAAAAATTTACATCATCTCTCTTTCTCTCTCTCTTTTGGTTTAATTTAAAAGGTTAACCGCGAATATGCCTTTTTCCTCCCTTTTCTCTTACCACCACCACCACCACCGAAATACCACTACACCATTAACCACCGCCCTCATCTCAACCTTTCCTACCATCCTTACCACCACCACCACTTTTTTTTCCCATGTTCAAAATGACAATTTATACAATTTTATTATTATTATTACTATTTTTTTTAACCGAAAATAAAATACGAAAAACTAATAATAATAATAAAAAATAGAAAAATGGTTGAAAATGAAGGAAAGAAAGAGAGAGAGAGAGAGAGAGAGAGAGAGAGAGAGAGAGAGAGAGAGAGAGAGAAAGAAGGTGAAGGGAAGAAAAGTGGTAAAAATAGAGAGAAAAAAAAATAATAATAAAATTATTGTTAAACTTTTTTTTTTCTTTTGTGTGTGTGTCTTCTGCTTTGATAGGAGGCACAAAAAACCTCCCCGCAACTTTTGATTGACAAAATTATTATTATTATTATTATTATTATCATTTTTTTATTTAAATTCATTTTATTAAAAAAAAAAAAAAAAAACGCGATTTTCTTTTTTCTTTTTTCTTGTGGAATACGTTTGTCGTAAACAAACAAACAAACAAACAAACGAAATAAATAGTTTGCGTGCACAAAAAAAAAAAAACATGAGGAAAAATCACAAACGATTTGCTATGAATGATAGCAAAAAAAAAATGACAACGATAATATTAATATTAATGATAATAATAATAATAATTTTTTATTTTGTTTAATGACGTCACCAACGACGACAACGACGAAATGCAAACAAAAATAATAATAATAATAATAGATAAAATCAAATCGTAATAAATCGTTACGAAATTTTCCAGCAGAATAAAAAAAAAAAAGAAAAAAGGAAAAAAAAAAATTTAAAGTTTGAATTTAAGCAGACGATATTAAAACGGAAATAAGAGGAAGAGAGAAGAAGGAGGAAAAAAAGGAAAAATGAGGGGAAGGGAATTGGGGAAAAGGCCGTTGAAATTTATAAAAAATCATGTTTCCTCTCTCTCTCTTCTCCGTGTGTGGCGTGTGGGTGTACGCCTATCTTTCTTTCTCTCTCTCTCTCCTCGATTTTCTTAATTTGTTTTTTTTTTCCTTTTCTTTTCCTTCATGATATTTTCATAAGATCCTTTTTCCCCTTCTCTCCCTTCCTTCCTCCCTCTCTTCTCCCCCAATTTCCTTCCTCTTCTCTTTATTTTCGGATACTTTTTTATTTTTTTGCCAGCAAAAACATTCATCACATCATTCTCTCTTTTTTTTTCCTTTTTTCCGTTTTTCCATTTTTTTTTTTTTTCGTACTCGGATATTATGATGGAATTTGAAAAATTCAAAGGAAAATAATAAAAATGGAACAGACGTTTTCGATGAGCAATAATTTTTCATTCTTAATATTCCGAAACCTTTTTTTTTTTTTTTTTCCTTTCCTCCTCCCTCTGGCAAATTTTCCATATTGGAATTCATTTTGTCACTTATTATCACATACATTTTTCTTCTTTCTCTCTCTTCCCTTCACTCTCTCTCTCTTTTTTTTTTAAAAACCGTTTCCGTCGTCCGTGATAATATCTCATCATTGAATCTCTTTAAAAAAAAAAAAATTTTCCCTCAATAAATTAAAAACATTAAAACTTTTTTCTCTTTTTTTTTCCTCTTTATACCGGAAAAGAGAAGGCTGAACGGATTAGAGAGAGAGAGAGAGAGAGAGAGAGAGAGAGAGAGAGGGAGACAGAAAAAGAGAGATGGAGGAAAAAAAAATTTCGAAACCTTTTTCAGGTGCATCAAACAAACTCTGAGTTTTTCGTAGGAAAAAAAAAAAAATTTTTTCCCCTTTTTTTTTTTTTTTTTTAATTTTCCCCGCGGAATTTTCTTTTGAAAAATTTTATCAAAGGTTTATCACGTGTTGTATAATTTCCTTTTTCTATTTTCCTTTTTCTATTTTCCTTTTTCAAAAATTTTCTTATCTTTAATTGCGACGACAAAAACGACGACGACGACGACGAAAACGCTCGAGAAAACATTTTTAAACGTTTAAAAAAAAAAAAAAAAAAAAACTTTTTCTTTTGCCACTTTATAAAAAAAAATTTTTTTTTTTTTTCACCTACGAAAGAAACTATTAAAATAATGATGATGATAATAATAATGATAATGATAATAAAAGAAAACTTTTTAAGATTTTTAATTCGAGAAAAAACGACGAGGGGGGGGGAGGAAAAAACCAAGGCGGAGAAGGTAGAGAAAAAAAAAATTTTAAATTTTCTCTCTCTTTTTTTTCTTTAGTTTTTTTTTTTTAAAGTTGGTAGCACTGTCGTATATATACCCTTTTAAATTACGCGAGATTAAAAACAACATCATCATCATCATCATCTATCTATACATAAAATTAAATTAATTTCAAAATAATGGAAAAACTTTTCCTATTTTAATTGTCACTTTTAACGCCGTAATTTCAAATACTATTTTCCTACTCGAAATGGTTTTCTTTTTTTTCTTCTTTCATAAATTACGAAAGGTCATTTTCAATGTCTCTAAGATACGAGAGAGAGAGAGAGAGAGAGAGAGAGAGAGAGAGAGAGAGTGAGAGAGAAAAACGTTATATATATATATATATATATATATATATATATATATATATATATATATATATATATATTTAATTAAAGCGTTCGCACTCAATGGCTAATAAAATTGAAATAAAATATAAAAAAAAAACGAACGTAAACTCGCCAGAGAGAGACAGAAAGAGAGAGAGAGGGAGAGAAAGAGGGAGAGAGAGTGGGAGACAGAGAAGAAGAAGTAGAGAGAAAGGAGAGCCAGGAAGAGAAAAAAAGAGTGAAGCAGAGAG